GTTGAATAACTATAGGCCAATATCCAACTTACACCCTCTCTCAAAAATCTTCGAAAAATTAATTCATAAACGAATCTACTCCTACCTTATCTCCCAAAACATACTCAACCCCTGCCAATTTGGATTCAGGCCTAATAAAAATACTAATGATGCTATTATACACATGCTAGAACATATATACACTGCAATAGAGAAAAAAGAACTCCCACTGGGGATCTTCATTGACTTACGTAAAGCTTTTGATACAGTTGACCATGACTTGCTCCACGTAAAATTGTCACACTATGGTATAAGAGGGCACTCCCTCAACTACCTCAAGTCATACCTCAGCAACAGAAGCCAATATGTGTACGCAAATGGGGCAAACTCTTCTGCGCAACCAATTACAGTTGGTGTCCCACAGGGAAGTGTCCTTGGCCCTTTCTCTTTCTCCTATACATAAATGACCTTCCAAATGCTTCGCAATTACTCAAACCCACACTATTTGCAGATGACACTACATACGTCTTCTCTCACCCGAGCCCAGTCACACTAGCCAATACTGTAAATACCGAATTACAGAAAATATCTACCTGGATGAGGACTAACAAACTTACACTAAACATTGACAAAACCTACTTCATTCAGTTTGGTAACAGAGCTACAGATGTCCCTCTTAACATAATGATAAACGGATCACCTATCACAAAGCTAACAGAGGGAAAATTCTTAGGAATCCACCTTGATAATAGACTCAAATTTCATACACATATACAACAAATTTCTAAGAAAATTTCCAAGACTGTAGGCATACTATCGAAGATACGGTACTATGTTCCACAGTCAGCCCTCCTGGCCCTATATCACTCTCTTATTTACCCCTATCTCACCTATGGAATTTGTGCATGGGGCTCAACAACAATTAACCATCTCAGACCACTAATTACCCAACAAAAGGCTGCAGTTAGAATGATAACAAATTCTCACTACAGGCAGCACACTCCACCAATATTCAATACACTAAACCTACTCACCATACAAAACATCCATACTTATTACTGCACCTATTACATACATAGAACACTTAACTCTGATATTAACCCTCCCCTCAAACATCTCCTTGCCAACCTCAACAGAACACATGACCATAACACAAGGCACAGATCACTCTTTGATGTTCCTCGTGTCCATCTCACACTATGCAAAAACTCAATGCACATAAAAGGCCCTAAAATCTGGAATTCATTACCTGTAAATATAAAAAAACACTACCTGTTTATAAATTCAAGTCTCTACTCAAAGATCACTTACTCACACCAAAACCAAATAAATACTGAATAACTGAACCTTATAAATTGTATATCTTAAATGTTTCTCACAATTATATCACATAAATGTTAAACCTAAAACCGAATCTAACTTTATTATTTTTAAATACACTACCTTACAGAATCCTTCATATGACCTGTCTTTGTAATACTCACTTGTGCTTTATAGTAATCTGTTTACATTAATGTTTTATCACTGACTTCATCATTGCTTAGTTAATCTTAAGTTAATTTTAAGCCAGCCCGTAATGCTATGCATAGTATAAGTGGCTTTGGCATACTGCTCTTATCTGTATTTTTTTTTTTTTGTACCTCTGTATGTGTGCACAAATTTATAATAAATAAATAAAAAAACCCTTTTGGGGCGGGGATGGCAGACCAGAGAGACCTAGCTTGTGGCTAGACCTGGGGACAGTTGGTCCCAAAGATGAGGAGGTACTTGTGCCTCCTCCCATGGGAGCATGGGAGACTTAGGTCTCAGACATTCCCTAACGAAGGAGCCAAGGCCGGGCCACCACTTGGAAAAGGCCCGGGCCGGGAGAATACCGGCGATCACAAAGTTCAGTTACTTAAGTAAGTGAGTTTGTTCAGGTATACACAAATACACTAACATAGATTATCATACATAGCAACATATGTGTAGAGAACCTAGGATAACCCAAAAAAGTCAAAGTGACTTTTTTTCGTTCGGGTCCTTAAATTTTAAGGTTTCAATAATAAGATGTTACAAGGACCCCAGTGGAAATAAGTCACTTTATCTGACTTTTTTGGGTTATGCTAGGTAATCTACACATACGCTGCTATGTATAATTTATATGTATACTTGTACCTGTCCCTGAATAAACTTACTAACTCCTTCAGCTTTGCAAGAGTTTCTCCTAGTTGAGTTTACCCCGTTCTCTGTGGTGTCTCTGCTCGGATAAACTCTTATATTTATATACTGCAGTAGTAATTTAAGTTTGTATTTAGGCTTTGAATGTATAACATACAAAAAAGATTACATTGGTCCTTTAAGGCATGCAGAAGTTATGGTCATACAAGAAGTATATTGTGTACATTTTCTTTAGGATAAGTAAGTAAAGTCAGTGTGCCCTACTATCTTACAGCTAGACTGTAAATAATAAGATATTACAAGGACCACAATGGAAATAAATCGATTTTGTGGGTTTATTCCGGTGGGTAATTTACAAGTATGTTACTGTGTATGATGAGTATAGTAACCGTAGCTCAGTTGTTAGCGCACTCAACACTCACACTCAGGTCCGTGTTAATTCAAGTATCTTTTCTGGCTAAGTGCATCAGTGTTTTCAAAATGATCGTTTACGTATTTTTCTATAAAACAGTTAACATGACTTTATTAATTTTCGGGTATCATTTATATTTGCGTTGAAAAACATGTCTTATTGTAATATATTTCTTTGCACTGTATTGCATTACGTATATTACTCAGGATATATATATATATATATATATATATATATATATATATAAATATATATATATATATATATATATATATAATATATATATATATATATATATATATATATATATATATATATATATATTATATATGTATATATATGTGTGTACTCACCTATTTGTACTCACCTATTTGTGGTTGCAGGGGTCGAGTCTTAGCTCCTGGCCCCGCCTCTTCACCGGTTGCTACTGGGCCCTCTCTCTCCCCGCTCCATGAGCTTTATCAAACCTCGTCTTAAAACTGTGTATGGTTCCTGCCTCCACTACGTCATTTTCTAGGCTATTCCACTGCCTTACAACTCTATGACTGAAGAAATACTTCCTAATATCTCTCTGACTCATTTGTCTTCAACTTCCAATTGCGGCCTCTTGTTTCTGTGTCCCCTCCCTGGAACATCCTGTCTTTGTCCGCCTTGTCTATCCACGCAGTATTTTATATGTCGTTATCATGTCTCCCCTGACCCTCCTGTCCTCCAGTGTCGTCAGGCCGATTTCCCCTAATCTTTCTTCATAGGACATTCCCCTTAGCTCTGGAACTAACCTTGTCGCAAACCTTTGTACTTTCTCTAGTTTCTTGACGTGCTTTATTAAGTGCGGGTTCCAAACAGGTGCTGCATACTCCAGTATGGGCCTGACATACACGGTGTACAGTGTCTTGAACGATTCCTTACTAAGGTATCGGAATGCTGTTCTCAGGTTTGCCAGGCGCCCATATGCTGCAGCAGTTATCTGATTGATGTGTGCTTCCGGAGACATGCTCGGTGTTATACTCACCCCAAGATCTTTCTCCTTGAGTGAGGTTTGCAGTCTTTGGCCACCTAGCCTATACTCTGTCTGTGGTCTTCTGTGCCCTTCCCCTATCTTCATGACTTTGCATTTGGCAGGATTAAATTCGAGAAGCCATTTGCTGGACCAGGTGTCCAGTCTGTCCAGGTCTCTTTGAAGTCCTGCCTGGTCCTCATCAGATTTAATTCTACTCGTTAACTTCACATCATCTGCAAACAGGGACACTTCTGAGACTAACCCTTCCATCATGTTGTTCACATATACCAAAAATAGCACTGGTCCTAGGACCGACCCCTGTGGGACCCCGCTCGTCACAGGTGCCCACTGTGATACATCATTACGTACCATGACTAGTTGTTGCCTCCCTGTGTGTGTGTGTGTACTCACCTAATTGTGGTTGCAGGGGTCGAGACTCAGCAGTGTGTGTGTGTGTGGTGTGTGCAAAACAACCGCAGACAGGCGATCTTAACAATGCAAGACAAGCCACAGCTGATGGAAATCTTTAGCTCAAGTACTTTCACACGCCTCCGTGCGTCATCAGGAGCTATGCAGTGTTGTAAGAGTAGCTTCTCACAAATTTTGTGAGATAATCTGGCTGGTGTCGCCACGCTAATTTACTAAAGAGGAGACTATGTAAGGATGACAGGAATTAGAAAGAAAAATGAATGAAATGACGTTGTACTTAACCGGAAACATCCGGGAGTAAGAGGAAGAATTAATACTCAGAACGTGAAGATGTAATGGAAAAAATATAGTCCACGGTTCTTCGAGAGATGCAAAGAACCTTAAACAAAAAGTAAAAGGTCGTTAAAAATTTGCAAACAGGGAAAACTGGGAGAAAAAGAAAAGAAAAACGAAGAGAAGAGCTTGTTAAGAATAGGCTTAGGTCTAGTGAAAGGCTCAGCGACACACGAGTTTAGCGCTTCTTTTTTATTATTATAATAATAATAATCAGAGACACACGAGAGATTTTATAATGATTAACAATTCGTGAACGAGCAAAATTATTTACAAACATTATCTCAGACCAAAGCAGGACTCAAACCTGCGCACCCTGTATCCAAGTACATAGTAATATACCAGGCAGCGAGACTCCACTTAAGTATGGCTGCCCAGTAGACAGTAGGCGTTTTTTCCAACACACACGCGCGCGCGCGCACGCAAATAGTTTTAAGAGTAGGTATGATAGATCCCACGAGGGAGTAAATCTGGTGACTAGCAGCCCCAGTATCTGAAAAACGACCCCTGCAGCCACAAACAGATGGGTACTAATAAGTGAGTATAAACACACACCGAGAATTTACTCTGTTATTCATTTTATGATTTAAGATATTTCTGACTGATGGTTAACAGCTGAAATGCTATTTTAATGCCTTTAACAAATCAGCTGCCATCCTAACTCACCTTTTTTGACTCCTCGCGCAGATGTTCAGGTCGCGAGTATGGAGGTGCTGTCGCCTGGCTCTTGTGGGTCGTCGATGGTCTATTATGGGACGAAATAGGAGCATCTCATCCTTCAATTTCGTCTCCTTCCTGCAAGGTCGTAGGCTCTCCCACACCCACAGCCCCACTAGGGAGCAACTTCCCTCCCTCTGTAAAGGTGTGTGCCTCGCCACCCTCTCTCAAGGCTTTTTACACAGTGTCTCTATATCTTTACCCTCTCTCCCTCCATGGTCATGGGAAATGCAAAATTGGTAATAAATGTTACAGTGCCGTAGGCAGAACAGTTTACAAAAAAACAGCTTTGTAGAGGAAACTTTGGTCGGCGTTTCGCTCTGAATCATTATCAGATGGTTACTTTTGATTTAATAGATGACCCAAGGCAGACTGAAACGTCGTCTATCGTTTTCTTCCCAAGTGTAGGCTAATTGTGTAGTGTAGACGGGATTGCTGTGTTTGGTCAGCTTTCTCATCTGCTTGAAACTTTTCAGTTTGTAATTATACATTATTATTATAATCATAACTAAGCGCTGAACCCACAAGGGTCATATAGCTAGTAATCATACAGATGCGATGGTGTTGTAATACAGTGTTTATTTCCTCAGAGACCTCAGATCGCATGGAGGTGGCAACGAGACCCCACACTACAAAGACCACCAGGGTCCCCTCCATCCAGAAGTCCTACTACAGCGACTCTGGTACTGGGTCCTACTCAGGGGTGGAAATCCCACTCATTGAAACCCCCGAGGGACACTTCCACACCTCGGAGGTCCCCCATGGGCCAAAGGGCACCACCCTGCAGCATTCCCTGGTCAAGAGCCTCTCTGTGGCCATACCAATCCCCCTGTTCACGAGCGAGCAGTACAGGGTGTCGGAGTGCGGAAGGGAGGGTCCCAGCTGCTCGCAGGATGCTTATAACTACCACTACAGCAGTCTAGAGTGCCCTAGAGGGGTCCTGCAGGCCCTCTCACGCCCCGTTCACCGAGTGGCATCCTCACCCCTGGCTCAGGATCACTTGAAATCCCCGTTCCTGACCATCCAAGGTATAGACGTGTCCTTCAAGGACTCTATACTTCAAAGTACAAGGATCCTTCATGCACGCATGGTACTATATAATGACTTGATCATGTTAACAACACTTCAGCATACTTACAACACACACTCCTCTCTCTCTCTCTCTCTCTCTCTCTCTCTCTCTCTCTCTCTCTCTCTCTCTCTCTCTCTCTCTCTCTCTCTCTCTCTCTCTCTCTCTCTCTCTCTCTCTCTCATTTTGTAATTGAGTTTACTCGTGATCAGATTATTATTCATTACATTTATAAAGAAGGCCAAACCCATATGGGTAATGTAATATTTGGGGAATCATTTTTAATCAGGTTCAGTAAGAGGAAAGGGAAGGTTGTAAAAGTTTGTTGGATAGCTTTTTTTGTTTTCCAGCACAATAATAATAATTGGGACTGTTCCGTCTTCCCCACAGATGGTGACATGGGAGGTATAGTGTTGAGGAGTAACTCTTGGAGCTGTCAGGGTGGAGAGCCCTCGTGGCCTCAGTACCGCACACAGAGCACCCAGACTCTCTCCCTCCATCATGAACCCTTATCGTCGCCCGACGGCCTCCGGCAGCCCTCCGTCAGCGGAGACGTGGAGCGTTCCCTACTGGATTAAGTAGAGGATAAAACCTTTGGAGAAATCTTCGGATCTCGTTCACCCATATTCCAGCGACACCAGAGTTTAATGTGTTTGGGATAGCTATTGTGTTAAGGGCGTCCACACCAGGGACAAGAGGGTTTAAGGACTACTGTTAAGTACACCTGTATTTTCTAAGGGTGCCTACACTAGGGATTAAAGACTGTAGGGGCAACCCTTCAAGGTGTTGAGGGTGTTCACTTTACGCTGTCTCACCTCAAGGTCAAGCTTGTTCTAGAGGGGCACAGATATCCTACCTTGAGATTTTAGTATTCTCAGCATATACACCCCTGTAGGAGCAGCCTCTAAAGATACCTGTTCCTTTGGTTTTAGTACAATGTATCAAGAGGACAAATGACTGCCGAAAACTAGAGGAAAATGGACGAGAATGCATTCCTTTTGGACACTTTTGTTGAAGACGTGTCGTTCCTCGGACCTTGATTATTTCATTGAAGGCGTCCTAAGTGTACGCATTCGTGTTCGTTTAACTTTGGTATAAATCCCAGGAATAAGATGCAAAGCCTACACGCAAACACTTTAAGGTTTAAAGTTTACCCCTTTTATTATTATAAACAATAGTTTTTAGATAGTAGATTATACGTTAGATTATATATTTTCATGTCTGTAAACATTATTCCAGTGACACACCAAAAGAGACTGGAAATTTGTCAGGCCACGTCATAGATATGCTGGGCACATGTAGTGTATTTTGACATCACATCTCATGGATATGCCGGGTACGTTTGCTGTATCTTAATATTACAGTGTATTTCTTAAGTATTTTTGTGCAATGTACCAAATAAGATCTATGAATATATTAAAGTTTATCGGTGCTACTCTGATTACGGTGTACAGCTTTCTGTGAAGCATTTATCTAGCAAAGGGCATTTGTGAATTAATGTTCTTGTAAGCTTGTGTGTGTCTCGAAGAACGAGGGGGATGTCTCTATGCGGCAGATGTAAAGGAGCTACGGATGGGCGAGACAACTTCAGTAACTCTGTGTTCTAGTCATATACAGTACTTGTCTATTTTTGTAATGCATGTGATTCTCGTTACTCTATAAGGCTATAATTACCAGATAACATGAAGCTCATTAACTAAGGTAATATGTTATCATGAACAATGTTCAGTGTCTAGTAACTATGTTAGTGTAATCACTGGAGGCTGCTCGTGTGTGTGTGTGTGTGTGTGTGTGTGTGTTAGTTACCATTTTGTCCTAGGCACATGTCGACTAGACACTAGGCCTATTGTATATATGTGTGTGTGTGTGTGTGTGTGTGTGTGTGTGTGTTTATGTCTGCTTTATCTGTTTGTTGTTATATATTAAATACCAAGTAGCAGAAAAAACGGCGATAAACAATGTCTTTCCGTTTGATAACTAATTTTTATTCTCTCCAGAAATGTTTGTATCCCAAGCCTCAGAAATTTACCGTTGTATTGCCCTGGGTCGGTCAAAATATTTTCTCACTGATGTTCTTACAGTTGAACCGGTGGGGCAGTGTCATTTAAAGTGCTTCAGGAACCTTGTAGATTTTATTCTGAATACCCCAAGCACATGTGCATTAGTTATTTTTTAAGAAACATGTCTGGCCTGAAATTCTGAGTTCACTTAAAATTACTACTTTGAATTTTATCGGTAAAGCCTCTTCCTCCGGCCTGTTTTTATACACAAGTCTGCCAGTTCATTGTGGTGATAATGTTTAAATAAAGTGCTCAAGTCACTTGACTGCTGAACACTGCACTCTGTTCGATGATGGATTGTAAAGGATCACTCAGAGGTAATGAGTGAGTGCAAGGGAAGGGCAAATAGCAGAAGACAGAGTACACATTGGGGCTAGATATTGAGGACTAGCTACAATGTGGCTACCATTCTCTGTCTAGAGTGGAGGCAATGATAGTATAGCAGAAAATTCTTGTCCCCGTTCTTCCCTCCTTTCAACAACATAGCCTGATTGATAAATTAGTAGAAAAAAATACATTGAAAAACGAGCCTTGATCTGTATGAACTCGTCTCCAGAAGGCTAAAGGTTTACCATAGCTGTTAGGAAACAAATATAATTATATTTAATTTACGTATGTGATGCAAACACAACTGGAATAATTTCCTTATCTTGATCAAGGGAAAGTCGACCTGCTGAGCAACACTTGCAGCCTCGACCGACAACACAACCAAATGTTTGGTAGTTTGATATAAGAAAAACACAGATTAGTTTTTTATATAAATTTTAGATTATTTTAATTAACTTGCGCTTGTCATAAACACGTGCTGAATATGGTGGTGCAACAAACAGTATTGAACTCTGGTCACTGAAAGAGGAAACACCACATGAAACAATAATGAAGAAGAATGGGTAGTCTGTATATTTCAACCTCAGCTGAAGATCGAAACACACGAACTGCCATTCTTCCTCGTTTTTGTCTCCTGTGGGATTTCCTCTCTCAAGTGTTGAATATCTTACAAACGCAACATATTCTTGTCAGTGTTCCATGTCCACGTATATCGCCTCAGTTTCAGTTACAAATACATGCATTTATTTTTAATCAACAATACGTAAAAGCATTTGGTGTGGGATTATTCATACATGCTAAAAACTTCATCAGTGTGCGATTTGCTATGAAGGTCAACATGTAATTCATACGAGTATAATAATTCCATGTTCAGATGCCATATCTCTATAACCGGATGTCATGTTTCTGTGTCCGGAAGTTATATTTTTATGTCCAGATGCTCTATACTGATTCATAATAAAGATAAAGTGAGAAGACTGAGTTTGAGAAACCTGGTCAGACCATCCCACGAACATGACGCAAATGATGAAGATACGTAAATATACTGAAGTAAATAAAGAAAATTACTGGTTACTGAAGAGTAAATTCCAAAACAAAACTCTAATATGCCGGTGATAAACATTGATCAATGGCTTCAGTTTTCCAGTACCACTGGAACAAATGCTTGCATCTGGAAACAGATGTTTGTACCGCTAAAATAAATGTTTGCACCATTCAAAAAAAAAAAAATTACCATTGAATCAAATGTTTCTAATGCTGAACCAAATGTTATGTTATCACTGAAACAAATGTTTAAGACTGAAATAAATGTACCACTGAAAAAACATGCTTGTACCACTGAAACACATGCTTGTACCACTGTAACACATGCTTGTACCACTGTAACACATGCTTGTACCACTGAAACACATGCTTGTACCACTATAACACATGCTTGTACCACTGAAACATATGCTTGTACCACTGAAACACATGCTTTTACCACTGAAACACATGCTTGTACCACTGTAACACATGCTTGTACCACTGAAACACATGCTTGTACCACTGAAACACATGCTTTTACCACTGAAACACATGCTTGTACCACTGTAACACATGCTTGTACCACTGAAACACATGCTTGTACCACTGAAACACATGCTTTTACCACTGAAACACATGCTTGTACCACTGTAACACATGCTTGTATCACTGAAACAAATGCTTGTACCACTGTAACACATGCTTGTACCACTGAAACATGTTTGTACCACTGAAACACATGCTTGTACCACTGAAACACATGCTTGTACCACTGTAACACATGCTTGTACCACTGAAACACATGCTTGTACCACTGAAACACATGCTTGTACCACTGAAACACATGCTTGTACCACTGAAACATATGTTTGTACCACTGAAACACATGCTTGTACCACTGAAACACATGCTTGTACCACTGAAACATATGTTTGTACCACTGAAACACATGCTTGTACCACTGAAACACATGCTTGTACCACTGAAACATATGTTTGTACCACTGAAACACATGCTTGTACCACTGTAACACATGCTTGTACCACTGAAACACATGCTTGTACCACTGAAACATATGTTTGTACCACTGAAACACATGCTTGTACCACTGTAACACATGCTTGTACCACTGAAACACATGCTTGTACCACTGAAACACATGCTTGTACCACTGTAACACATGCTTGTACCACTGAAACACATGCTTGTACCACTGAAACACATGCTTGTACCACTGTAACACATGCTTGTACCACTGAAACATATGTTTGTACCACTGAAACACATGCTTGTACCACTGTAACACATGTTTGTACAACTGTAACACATGCTTGTACCACTGAAACACATGCTTGTACCACTGTAACACATGCTTGTACCACTGAAACATATGTTTGTACCTTTGAAACAGATGTTGGTAGCAATGAAACAAATGTTTATCCCCCTGAAACAATGTACCACTGAAACAAATGTGTCCCCCCTGAAACAAAAATGTGTACCACTGAAACAAATTTTTGTACCACTGGAACGGCACGAAAGTGGACACAACACAATATTTGGAAGATTCCAGTCATTTGGAGAAGGTTGAGAAAGGTCACACAAGGATTGGAGGGTGTTCTTGATCCGAGTAACTGGAGATGCACTCCGTTTCCCCGGGCACTATGTGCCCCCCTAGAGGTTTAGCGCCTCCACATTGAATAGGATAATAATAATAATAATAATAATAATAATAATAATAATAATAATAATAATAATAATAATGGTAAGCAGTGGTGCAGTATGTTAGATCGAGGTGAGTCTTGTTTCTTAATTTTCCTTCAGCGTTCTCTTTCTCTATTCCGGTCCTTTCTGACAACTAACCGCCTTTCTTTCCCTTCGTCCCAATTTCCTATCCCCATCCACCTTCGCTCATCAGCGAGGAAGATGGGTAAGTCTCCTGGTCAGCTAGCCCTCTGTTCGTCTAGCAGCAGATACCTAAGAAGTAGCCGACTGTTATTGGTTGCATCCTGCACAGACTGAAGGTTTCACTGGAAACAATCCACACTGTTTGGTTATCTCGGGTTATCTTAGATACTTAACCGTCACGAAGAGAAAGATCTGGGCGTGAGCGTGGCACCAAACATATCTCCAAAAACACCCGTCAACAGCATATCCTGCGAGGGTTATGCAAGAGTAGCTAAACAAACCATACCACGGGTGGGGATAGAACCCGCGATCAGAGTCAAAACTCCAGACCGTCGCGTTAGCCACTGGACCAGCTAGCCACAATAAGATTCGTCCAACTAGGTATATTTCTACACCATAGGAAGGTTAGCACAGGCACCACTGTGACCACAAATGCAAGTTTTTACAGACGAACCTCCAGCTAGCGTGGCCGTGACGAACTCTAGCTTAAGTCCCCCTCAAAGCCGTCAACATGACTCACGAAATCGTAATGACACGATTGCAAACAAAATATACCACGGGCTGGTTCTATCCCCGCCCGTGGTATGGTTTGTTTGCAATCGCGTCATTACGATTTCGTGAGTCAAGACTAGCTAACCCTAAAACTGGTTGGTTATGTACGGAGAACCAGTTGATGAAGGGTGGTAATGAGAAATGGTTGATTGACTGAGGAACTATGAACTAGTTGCTGAGGAAATACACCTAGAAGAAAGCCACCTAGGGGAAACACACCTAGGGAAAATACACCTAGGGAAAATACACCTAGGGATCAAAACCGATGATTTTCTTCGCCGCTTATCATACGTATGACCCTCCTCCGTCAACACACATGCGAGCCTTTTCCCCTCAACACAAGTATGATCCTTCCCCGTCAACACACGTATGATCCTTCCCTGTCAACACATGTATGATACTTCCCCTTCAACACATGTATGATTCTTTCCTGTCAACACGTATGATCCTTCCCCATCAACAAATGTATGATCCTTCCCCGTCAACACACGTATGATCCTTACTTGTCAACACACGTATGGTCCTTTCCCGTCAACACAAGTATGATCCTTATTTGTCAACACACGTATGATCTTTCCCAGTCAAGACATCTATGATCCTTCCCCGTCAATACATTTATGATCATTCATCCCCCTCAACACACATATGATCCTTCCCCCTCAACACACACATGATCCTTCCCCCTCAACACACTTATGATCCTTCCCTGTCAAGACAAGTATGATCCTTATCCCTCAACACACATATGATCCTTCCCCCTCAACACCCTTATGATCCTTCCCCGTCAACACACTTATGATCCTTCCCCCTCAACACACGTACGATCCTTCCCTGTCAACACACATATGATCCTTCCCCCTCAACACGCATATGAGCCTTCCCATCAACACACTTATGATCCTTCCCCGTCAACACACGTAGGATCCTTCCCTGTCAAGACATCTATGATCCTTCCCCCTCAACACATATGATCCTTTCCCGTCAACACACATATGATCCTTCCCCGTCAACACTCTTATGATCCTTTCCCCTCAACACATGTATGATCCTTCCCCGTCAACACATATATTATCCTTCCCCGTCAACACATGTATGATCCTTCACCCTCAATACACGTATCATTCTTCCCCCTCAACACGTGTATGATCCTTCCTCCTCAACAGATGTATGATCCTTCCCCCTCAATACACGTATGATCCTTCCCCGTCAACATACATATGATCGTTCCCCCGCAACACATGTATGATCCTTCCCCATCAACACACATATGATCCTTCCCCGTCAAGACATGTATGATCCTTCCCCCCTCAACACACGTACGATCCTTCCCCCTCAACACACGTATGATCCTTCCCCGTCAACACACGTATGACCCTTCCCCCTCAACACACGAATGATCCTTCTCCGTCAACACATGTATGATCCTTCCCCGTCAGCACATGTATGATCCTTCCCCCTCAACACACGTATGATCCTTCCCCCTCATGTGATATAGGTCTCCCCAGAGACCTCACAAGCCCAGCTGAACTACATCACACTCAACACACGTATGATCCTTCTCCGTCAACACACGTATGATCCTTCCCCGTCAAGACATGTATGATCCTTCCCCTCAACACACTTATGATCCTTCCCCCTCAACACACTTATGATCCTTCTCCCTCAACACACGTATGATCCTTCTCCGTCAACACACTTATGATCCTTACCTGTCAACACATGTATGATCCTTCTCCGTCAACACACTTATGACCCTTACCTGTCAACACATGTATGATCCTTCCCCGTCAACACACTTATGATCCTTCCCTGTCAACACACGTATGATCCTTCCCCTTCAACACACGTATGATCCTTCTCCGTCAACACACTTATGATCCTTACCTGTCAACACATGTATTATCCTTCCCCGTCAACACACTTATGATCCTTCCCCGTCAACACACTTATGATCCTTCTCCCTCAACACACGTATGATCATTCCCCTTCAACACATGTATGATATTTCCCCCGTCAACACATACATGATCCTTCCCTCTCGATACATGTATGATCCTCTCCCCTCAAAACTCACCTGACCAGTATATTTAATCACTAAATATACCAAGACTAACTTGCCTGTGCTGCTGAAGATCTCGGAGGAAAATTAAATAATCTCTTGTTTTTAAAATATTTTGTTTATTTCTACTTGTGAGTTTTCCAAAGTCCATTGACACGTGTCCACTACACGTGATGTTGCATTATACCCAGGTAAACAAGTGGGTAAACACTACGTAAACAAACAGGTAACCACAAGTAGGTTAACACAACTAGTATATACAGCTAGATAAAAATTACAAGGTAAACTTATTAAGTAAGTAACTAGGCAAACGCAGTCTGGTAAGGACATGCATGACGTAAATACACAGTAGCAGACACAACGACGCAAACACAGGGAGGTAAACACTAGATAAACACAACCGGGCAAACGCAACAAGGTGAACACAACTAGGTAAACACAACAAGGTAAACACAA